GTTCCGCTTACCTTTGACAAAGTCTACAGGTCTCACAAAAGTAAGACGTGTAACTCAGCAGATCCTAACAAAAGAAACTAACGAAAGTGCGAAATGCCCTTCCCAAGCCAAACAACGCCATTTTTCATTGAGAATCGTCACGAATACCTACCTGTTCAAAGAAATGAATACGATATTCCACAGCTCGACAATCGAATCGTCTACATTAACCAAATGAGCGACATCGCTTCGTCCGGTAACGCGATCATAGAAAATCTCGCTGGATGGCCCACACGGACCAGTAACACCCATTTCCCAGAAGTTTTCCTTTTCAAACGGCAGAACATGAGATTCAGGCACCCTAAGCTTTGACATTTTCTTTATATTTCTTAGGCTGAGAAAAACAAGCTAGGTACCCAATTTTCAGCCAAATTTTCCTGCAGTTCTCGTCGGCTGCAAGGTTCCATTCTTTTGAGCCACCGAAGTAAGTGACATATAACCGAGACGGATCAATGTTTAGGATATCCGTAAGAAAGTACCACGCTAATCTGCACGCATCTTCCTGGATTTTTGAAAATTATCCAGTAATTCAAGAGTGACTGTTCTTAAATAATTAGCAAGCCGTGAAACCAACGAACGCTTTGATGAACTATCGATAAGGGAAGAAATACCTTGGAGTAAGAATTGTTAAACGACCAATTGCCAAGCATCTCGAAGAACGTCTGGTGATGGAGATCTCGCCCGACGCTCTAAAACATGGTTTAAACTGCGCTAATAGCTAATAGCACGGAGCATTCAAAGGCAGTCGGCACGATTTCTTGGAGAGGACGGTTCTTGCTAACGTCACTGTGGAAAGGCTGGGTGGATTGTAGCCAACGCCCTCTCGCAGCCCTCCTACCAATGACGTTGGCAGTAACCGCCCGCTCCCAGCCATCGTGGCCACTGCCTTCGAAGATATCTCGGTGCAAGCTGGAGCTACCCTCATAGCTATGGGCGTTATTGTACTTGAAAACTCGTTCTCTTAGTTCTTTTGGGCCAAAGCAAAAGTCTCTGGTTCTGGGACAGTAATCCCAGTGTTTCATGCGGAATCCTTCAAGTCCACCCTACCCCTCCGAGGTTATTAGCACTCGAAGATCAAAAAAGAAAAGAGAAGGGCGCTGATCCAACGTAGGTCTGTTCTACAGTACAATAATGCACGCGTTCGAAAGTACATCCTTGTTCAGCGCGGATGCTGGGGCGTGTCAGGGGGCCCGATTCCGCGCGGACGTCAGCCCGTTTTTCAAGAGGGCAAGCTG